TTTTTTTTTTTTTTCCTGACGGCGCGTCACCGACCGGTTGGCTGGGAAAAGAAGGATCGCCAAAAATTCTCCGATGGTCGTGTAGCCCTGGTTAGACGCCGAAGCCCCCCGTGTGTTGATGGCGTGCCGTCGAGTCCAGCCTTGGCGTTCGATTCTGGAAGAGAGACACCTGGATGGGGTCTGTTGGTGTAGGTATGAGGCGAGGCGCCAGAAGGGTCTAAAGGTGAGTCAGGCTGATCGCTCCGAGGTCCACTGCGCTAGTTGCCGGTGCTCGCCTAGTCATTCCGAGCCGCATCGACTCGGCCCCTGGACTGTGCTCCGTGGAGACAAACGAGGCCGAGTCCAGAGAAGGGAATCGTGCACCGCGGCGCAGACAGGATTCGACGGTGTGAGGGGCTCACGGACTCACCTTGGCCGATTGGAAGTGCCCACAGCTCCGGCGGGTTGGGTGAAAGCTTCCGCTTCGAGGTGGATCGAAAAGCTCGTCCTTGAGGCTCGTGCAAGGCTCGTGACCTTGATGCCGACTTGATCCGTTGATAGTGTTGGTGGTGGTGGCCTTGGTGGAAGACGTTCAGAGAGTGCGGAAGAGAGCTTCGTTTGGGCAGAGACGTCGAAAAGGTCTCTTGAGTCTTAAGTGGCTTCGCACGTAGCAGTACTAGCTCTGAACTAGTGCGGGCCGTGAAGAATCCGGCTTGGGAACCGAGTGCACGGAGCAAGAGAGACCAGCTCAGTGCCGCCTGAAAGCGATAAAAAATTTATCAGATGGCCGCCCAAACATGCCTGTGACAATGTGTGCCTTGCCGAGGCCCGAACCGAGCTCATACTGGCAGCGATGCGCGTCCAATCACAACCACGCCAGCCTGCCTTGGCGACGCATGTGTTGGCAGCCGCCCTAGCTCGCCTGGCATCGGTGTGCACTAGCGCGCTTTGCTTCAAACTGCGAGTTTGCTTGGCATGCCCTCTGCCGAACGCCCCGAGAAAGTCCGCTCGTCATTTTGCCATTCGGCCCTGCTTTATCAGATCACATCGCACCGTAGCATCTAGAGCAGATCTGACAGTCAAAACGAAAGGAAAAAACTTTTTATCAGATTAGCCCCGTGCCGTCCGTGCCAAGCAAAAGAAGATGGACGAACAAAACCCTCACGCCACCCCTTGACCGCTTCCACTCGCTCGGTAGCGCAAACTCCGCCTGCATTTCGTCATCCGACCTAGACTAGCTGATGCGCGCTTCGCGTAGTCGAGTGACCGGAGTGGATGAATCTGCATGTGCCTGCTCCGTCGACCTGCGACCCGACAAGGCGGATTCCTCGCCGTTGCGCACCTTCTTCTTGCTCGGCTTGGTCCGCTTGGGCCGCACCACGTTCACCGCTTCCGCCTCGGCCTCGGCCGTGCTGGGTGTCGACTCGTCATTGACGTTCGAGAGCATGAGCACTGAATTGCGCTCGCCCGCCGTACCACCACCGCGTGCCAAGAGGCGCAGCCAGTCGTCGCCTACTTCCGACTTGAGCGCTTCGATCCGCCGACGCAGCGCATCCGTCCGCTCCTTGCCCGTGGCTCCTGGCGATGTAGCCACGACCGGCTT